GGATTTACCCCAAGGATACAGATGCAGTGAAATGGCAGGATGCCTGTACCCCAACGTTTATAGCAGCAATGTCCACAATAGCCAAACTGTGGAAGGAGCCTCGGTGTCCATCGACAGATGAATGGATAAAGAAGCTGTGGTCTATGTATACAATTGTATATTACTCAGCCATTAGAAATGACAAATACCCACCATTTGCTTCAATGTGGATAGAACTGGAGGATATTATGCTGAGTGAAGTAACTCAATCGGAGAAGGACAAACTTTATATGGTCTCATTCATTTGGGGAATATAAAAAATAGTGAAAGGGAATAAAAGGGAAAGGAGAGAAAATGAGTGGGAAATATCAGTGAGGGTGACAGAACATGAGAGACACCTAACTCTGGGAAACAAACAAGGGGTGATGGAAATGGAGGTGGGCAGGGGGGTGGGGTGACAGGTGTGGGCACTGAGGGGGGCACTTTTTTTAATAAATTAATTTTTATTGGTGTTCAATTTACCTACATACAGAATAACACCCAGTGCTCATCCCGTCAAGTGTCCCCTCAGTGCCCGTCACCCATTCACCCCCACCCCCCGCCCTCCTCCCCTTCCACCACCCCCAGTTCGTTTCCCAGAGTTAGGAGTCTTTATGTTCTGTCTGAGGGGGGCACTTGACAGGATGAGCACTGGGTGTTATGCTATATGTTGGCATATCAAACTCCAATAAAAAAATATATACAAAAAAAGAGAGAAAGAAAGAAAGTACCAAAGAAAGAGATTACTTCTGTTTGGATGGTCAGGAGAAACTTCCTGGAAGGAACAATCTTGATGAAGAATGGGAAAAATCTGGCATTCTTCATCAAAATTGTTGGTGGGGACTGATATTCCAGGTATAAAGAAACCATGAACATAGCCCCCAGGGCAAGAATGTGTGGGTATCCTTGGGAGTCACAGATGTGTGATACAGAGGAGGCAGGAAAAGGGGTCAGAGAGTCATTTTCAGTGTAATAAATGCCATGGTCAGGGGTAATGGACCATGGCATTTATTTTGCCATAGAGTCTGGAGTAATGGGCAACCATTGTCTTACTCTAGGCTTTGGAACAGGAGAAATGACATGACATGATCAGAGTAACATTCAATTTAGGGTAGCAAATATATTGAGTGACTATAATGTGCCTAGCCTTATGCTTGGGGTAATAGATACAGGCATACATTCTTGATATTGCCCTCAAGAACCTTCAAGTCTAGTAGGGGGTAGATATATGAACAGATCATGTCAATCAAAAGTAGTATTTTGAGCTAAAATAGATGTATGTACAAGAGGTTATAGGAGCCCAGAGAAAGTAATCTGAGGGCTAAGGAAGAGATTGATTCCTGTTATGAGTCTTGCAAGAAAAGTAATAATTATTTGGATAAAGAACAGAGGGAAGAATAGTCTGGACTATGAGAACACAGAGAGCAAATTCACAGGGCATCAACTGACATGGGACATGTAAAGATTGACAGCAGAGCCGTTTTATTAGCTTAGTCAGCAGGAGGCAGAGAACAGGTAGGGAAAGAAGAGGGTGTTGAGGGGGTAGGAATGTCCTTTGGAAACCTTTTTCAGGGTAGAGGCAGGGAAGCCAGAAGACTACCACAGGGTCACATCCTACAATAGCGTTACATTTAGGAGGCATGACCCAAACAGAAATTCCAAACTTTACACACAACTCCCAAACACTTAGGGGAATCCAAGTACATCCTGCCTGACAACTCTTATTAATGCCCTGTTATTTATTAATAGTAAGCATTCTCAGAACTCCCAGGAGCCTTCCAGTGTCCAGAAGGACCCTCACCTCATCTACAGAGTTCCATTCCCACCACCTTGGTCCTTCAGTCCCTGTTCTCTTTTCTGCCACACCTGTAGGTTTCATCCTTCCTTCGAGTTCTGCCCCAACTCCGCATCTTCACACATGAGTTTTACTCTCTCTCTCCTCTGCAAACAGAACTTGATGATATGAGAGCAAAAGGGCTACATTTTGATTTGGGTTGTGCAGGGGCAGTGGAAATGTCTAAACTTGAATATGTTAATATTTGGGGCTAGTAGCAATAAGACATAAGATGACCAAAAAGGGTTAGGGATATGGCAGTATGATGGAATAGAAGACACAGAAGTGAGATAACTTTTAGAAACATACTCTCACAGTCTGACTACTAGCGACATGTGGAATGGAGGCAGAGAGAAGTAGGATTTTAATACTTTTTGATAGTTTGGGTGTACATAATAAATAACAGCAGTGTGATATTATTCACAATGGTGGGGATCCAAAAAGAGGGGCATACTTAAGAAGTAGGAGTAGAAGATGATAAATTTGACTTTGTATATGCCCTTTGTATATGTATTTGAGCCTATGGTGTCAGCAAGATGTTCAAGCCAATAGTACTTTAACTTGATGCAATATGCTAGCAGTCTCCAAACCTCTGTGAATTCATAGTCAAACACCCTTGGAAAACAACATACTATGATCCTTTCTTGGAGATAGATTATCCACTGATAAATCCTGTTGTAACTAAACCCATCTAACTTAACTTCATTTCCAATGCACCATCCATTTTTTCCCCCAGAATTAACATCATTGGGAATGTTATTTTCAACAAACCGTATTTTAAGAAATTATCATTACGCCATTAAGGAGTATAATTAGGGGATGATTAAGATAGACTTTGATGGGGCGGAGGGAGTTTTTATTTGCATGGAAGTGAGAGTTAAGGATTATGAACTGATGAATCACTCTGAGTGAAAAGAGAAGAAAGTTTGCAGAAAGAGCCTCTATAAACACCATTTGATGCCTGAAGTGGCATGTAGAGAATATAATTTGGAGAGGTAGCAAATTGTGGTAGCAAAAGCATGGATCAGAGCTGACGTGTGACAAGAGATCTAATCTCTAATATTCAGTTTTCCTACTTGAAAAATGATGCCCACTTTTTGGATTGTTTTGAGATTTAAAATAGAAAACATATGAAGCACTTACCACACAGTAGATACAGAATCTATTCTCAAGAAACGTTATTATTAATATTTTCATTTAAGTCTTCTTGATGAGTTAAGTAAAACTTTCATGATCACACTGCTATATTAAAACCTGAACTTTGAGCAGTTACATGGCAGAAATCTCTGTTGTTGATATCAATACACTAATACAAGAAAGCAATACCAGTTCAGACAAGCCTGGACCAGGAACAGTGTGGTACAGGAGTAGAATCTGCAGAAGCTAGGCAGTGGAAGAGACACCACAAGAATTTCCTGAAGGCATCTGTGACTATGTTTTGTTTTGTCTTTTTTCTATCAGCTTTTCATGAAGAGATGCTGGAAGCTAATATCAGAACCATAGTGAACAGTCCTTTAAAAAATTCTGAGCTAAACCCACCCTGGGCAAATGGCTATAGGTATCAATCTGGCATGAGGAGACATCCTCTGACAATAGTCATTATCTGGCACCCTCAGGGACAGACTGGGGTGAGACTGGAGGGAGGCATCTGCAATAGAATACTACGCTAATTAGATATACTGCTGTCTGAATATGTCACCATGTCACAAATGCAGGCCTTAATCATTTTCACTCTTGGTGAATTGAGCATATAAGGCCAAAAGAGATTCTGAAGTCAGAGCTAAAAGCTCTGCTAACTGCCACAGCAGATTAGCTTTTCCCTATCCCAGGAAAAAAAAATCAGTTACCATGATTTATCCAGATTAGTTTATTTCAAATATCAAAGGGATGATGACCAGAATTTATTCTGCAGTCTTTTCTGCAGCACTTCTGGACTGCAGCCCCTCAGATCTCAGATAAGATAATCTTTGTTGTTGTTCAGATTGGCTGTTTAACATGACTGGCCAATGTTTTTTTGTTTTGTTTTGTTTGTTTTTTTGTTTTGTTTTGTTTTGTTTTGTTTTGTTTTGTTCTGTTCTGTTTTAGAGTGAGAGACACAGGCAGAGAGAGAAGTAGGCTCCATGCAGGAAGTCCCACACGGGACTCAATCTCGGGTCTCCAGGATCATGCCCTGGGCCAAAGATAGGTGCCAAACTACTGAGCAACCCAGGCATCCCTGGCCAATGTTCTTAATCAAGAAGTCATCCCCCAGCACCCAAGGTAGGGATAGAGGAAATCATTGAAAGGAAGGTGAGTGAGTCTTCTAGGAGGCATGTAAAGTGTCAGGATTGTTTAGATCCTTGGGAAGGGACAGAGCCAGGGTGACAACTGGCTTATATGTGTGAACACATAAGGAAGGATCTTGTGGAAGGAAATGTTCATTAGTTGTTCTCTGAGTGAAAATAGGCTAAAGTGTCAATGAAATATACCCTGGAAGTTCATAGAGTCTCTTTCAGGAGTACTTACAGGATAAATGAGCAGTTCTGTATCTTTTATGGTCACCTGTCTAAAAATCACAAGACTAGGGCAGAATGAATATATATATATATATATATATATATATATATATATATATAACAGTGCTACTTGAAATGTCCAAAATTGGCAGCATCAGCATCACCTAAATCTAGCATCATCCAGAAGTACAAATTCTCAGGTTGCACCCTAGCTTTTGCAGAAATCAAAATCTCCAGGCAATTTGTTTTTAAAAGTTTTCTGAGTAATTCTTGATACCCTGAAGTTTAAGTAGCACTGCTCTAGGCCTGTATTTGACATGCCAAACCTTTCCACTTCCACTCATTCACTAAATGAGCCTGGTTTTCTTGTCTTTCTACTCTTAGTTTCTTGTTCTCTTATCCTGTTGGTACCTGATTAAACTGTATGGCTATACATAACACATAGGTTTTATAATTTTTACCATCAGTATAAATCAGAATTCTACTGAGGGAAAGCAACTTTGTAGAAACAGTAAAAATACTGAGTAAAAAATAGCCTTGTGATTTGGTTTACAGTACAAAGACAATAGTAACAACTTCTGAAAAATTACTGTTCATTCCCAGGAAAACTGTGATATAAATTAAGGAATTAAAAAAAGGAGAAAAACACTCACATGGGCTGTAAGTTGCTCCTGGGAAGTTTTCAATTCAGCTTGTAATTTCTCAATATGCTGAAAAGGGAAAAGTTTAGAAACAAAGAGTATAACTCGTCCTTTTACATATTCAAAGTATTCCAGATATAAATAGATACCAGTTCTCAAAACCTGTGAATGGCAGCACTATCTTGGCTAGATGCTTTTGAAATTGTCATTGAGAAATCCTTGCTACTACTCCTATTTTTCTTCCAATCTATTGAAGAGCCCAAGAACAGAGGACACAAATATGTTAAGATTTAGAAAATTAGTTGGAAGATAATGTTTGCTTGATGTACTGAAGGGAATGCTAACCTTCCTTGTATATACATATATAGGATCAAATGGTTTTATAACTGCCTTTAGAATATGTGGATATGTTTTTGTGTGAACATATATATACCAAAGGCAGATACAAACACTTTTGAGTTGAATGAGAAAAAAAATTATATAAATGCCTAGAGATTCTGAGATTAATAACCTCTTGTAATTGATTAAAGCATATGACAAATTTTCTGCTCCCTTCTTTTACTACACAGAAATAAACTATTCCTTGATTGAGTTCAACCTTAAAAACAAAGAAACATCTGGATAGTTAATGCCACTTCCTAATTAAGTAGAATATTTAGCTAATATGGTTCAAAAGGATACACATCAAACAAACTTTTAAAAAAATCACAAAATTAATTTTTGTATGTGAATATTCATCAGGGAATTCAATTATATTTAGCAAACACAAATATTATTTGCCATCTTGAACTTAAATATGAACTCCCAACCCAGCCAGAAAGAACTGCAGTATTGTCAATTCATATAAATTTAGGTAGCCTTTTAAGATAAAGATTATTTTTTCTTCTACAACATACCTGGTCTTTTGCAAGAACTATTTTTTGGTATGGTTCCCCACTGTCTTCGTTATGGTCCAGAGTCTGCAGTTTTCCCTCCAGCCAGGAAACTTGCTCAAGCAGTTTTGATTTTGTTCCTTCAGAGGCTGCAAGCTAAAGACATTTCTTGTAAAGGCATACAAATTTTAAAACTCCTTTTAAAAGTTTAGTTAATAAATATATTGCCTACCACTGGTATCTATTAAACATGAAAATATCTTCTGGAATATCCCTCATAGCTGACAAAGATTAGTGTAGAGAGATAAGGAAATAAGGTTGATTTTATTTTTATTAATAAAGATCTTTCTGGGCAAGAGATGAAACTACATAGTTACAACAGGCAGAGCGATTTTTAGTGCAACAAGCTCAACACTCATCTTTCTTATGTTTTAAGATTGTACTTTGTGCAGCTGAAATCTGAATTGCAGTTTATAAATTGTTCTTGAAACTTAACTTTTGGGGGACTACAGCTCTTTCCTATAGAGTAGAAATTCCGAGTCCTTTGAATGTTCACCATATAAGCAGCTAAAGGGAAATGCAGGAATTTCAAGTTAAAGTCTGATCAGTAAGGCACATCTGCCAAACCACGACCAGAAAATGTCTACAGATGACGGTCTTTGTTTTACTGTTTGTGGATTGCTCTTGAGCAAAGGGTAGTTTGATAATGCCTCGTTCCTTAACTCCCTTGGAGAACCTCTGGATTAGCATTGCCTTTCATTCAGACAGTTTATTGTGTATTTTCTCTATAGCTCAGCAACAATTCTAAAAGAGTCTCTGGAAAGGGACACACACCTTGTATTCATTCCAGTTCCCAGTGTGTCCTTGGAGGCATGAATTATCTTTAAGTATCTCTTTCATTTTATTCCAAGTATTGTTGTGAAGCATACTGTCTCATCTTGAAAAGTACAGCAAGTTTTTAAGGACAATTTACCAAATGGGAAAGCATGAAGAGGTTGGTCTCCACAGAAATAAGTTGGGCACAGCATATATAGGCTGGCATCGATCCAAATCCACTCATCCTCACACTCATTCACTTAACAATTAGTTGTTTACTTGGCACTCTCCACAGCCATTGTACTATGCACTGGAGATTACAAAAGCACAATGTGGAGGGCCAGAGGGGACAAATATGTCATGAACTGTTGGCTACAGCTTTCAGCTGTGACACAGGACACCTGTAGTGCTCCTCTTGGATGGTGATGCATTTAACTCTTGAGTACATAGTAGTTTAGAGATGTAGCCTGGTTTTTGTAGGCACTCTTCTAGTTTATTCCACAGTATAGTATAATGGCTAAAAACACAGACTCTTGAGTCAGACCCTATGGGTAAACATCTCATTTTCCTCCTTACTATCTCTGGGATCTAGGCAAATTTCTCAGTCCCTCTGGGCTTGATTTTCCAATCTGTAAATAGGAGTGGAGATGTAAAGGATAGTACTTACCTCACAGGTTTGTTTTGAGGATTACATGAGTTTATGCAAGAAAAATACTTAGAATAATGTTTGAAACATATCCTGTACTTAGTGCCTATTATTTTTATACTTTCTTCTACCTACCTCCTCTAGGTTACAGTAAGTATTGATAGGGGTTTTATTCAAACATTTATTATTTATCAAATTATACAACAAAGTATCTGAAGACATCACAGAGGTTTTGAGCCAGTTACCCTAAACTCAAATTGTATTTGGTTCACTTACTTCCTGTGACCACTCTAGTGTTCAGGGAAAAGGCCTCTCTAGAGCTGGTATTTTTTCCTTTCAAATACAGTTTTTCTCAGACTGGCCTATTTTGTTCCCATATCCTACCTGACCTGTCATTCAGTCAGTCACCATTTGGTTGTATTTCTTTGAAATCTACCTTCTATTGTTTTCAGGCTTTTATTCATCCTTTCAACAGATATTCACTTATTCACTCATTTGTTAAAGAAATATATCGAGTGCTTATCACATGTAAAACTTCAGAGGTAACACGAGAGTGGTATTGCTTATGTGCTCAAAAAACTCACACTTTACCCAGAAAGGCAGACAATTTTAGAACAATTACATAATATGAAAGTATGTAGGTGAATAACAATAATGACAATAATAATTTACTGGGTACTAATTACCTATCAAGCTCTCTGGAGAACCTTTTGTTTTCACTTTTATTTATCTCAATTCAGCTTCATACCCATTTTGCAGATGAGGGAATTCATTAATTTCAGCAAAGTTGTGTAACTTGCCCAAGGAGATAGCAAGTGAGTGTTGGAATCCAAGCTTTCAGCAGTGGACACTGAGTCTTATTCCCTCAACCTAAATTTGACCCCAGCTCCTAAAGTGAGGCCTGAGAATCATGAAAATCCCATCCTCTTTGCTGCTGATTGGTTCAGGAATCAAGGTTTAGAGGTGCCTGGGTGGCTCAGTAGGTTAAGAGTTAGCCTTCGGCTCAGGTCATGATCCCAGAGTCCTGGGATTGAGCCCAGGATTAGGCTCCCTGTTCAGCGGGGAGTCTGCTTCTCTCTCTACCCCTCACCTTGCTCATGCTCTCTCTATCACTTTCTCTCTCTCTCTAAAATAAATTTTAAAAAAGAAAAGGAATCAAGTCTAATCAAATTAGAGTCTGACTTTTCTTTTGCCACAGTTATTCTATGAGAAGAAATTATCTAATTTGGACCTTTCACACACCACAGGAGGAATTTTGATGTTGGAGCATTCTGTCTCACCTACCAGATATGAATGCTACTGTAGTGATCCTATAAACATCCAGGAAACCAGTATATGATTAAGCAACAGTCTGAATGGAAGAGTGGACAACATTATTGAAATGTACTATCAGATAATCTTGAAGCATGTCCTACCTTAGACTCACACAGAGTAAGCTAATAAGTTTCCTTTTTGTTTAGAAATTGAATTTTCCATTACTTGTCTACTATAAGCATTCAACTGATATACTGTCTGATTCCAAAGTCCCATGCTCTTGACCACAAATAATTAAAGTCTATGGAACAACACCAGTCATTAACACTTATTTGGTAGCTATACCATACCATGCATTCTGCTGGAAACTATCTATACTTACCTTAGTTCATTGCTCAAGACTCTATGAGGAGTTTTGTTTATATTTTTTGTTAATTATCACATTGTAAAGAATGGGAAACTAGATGCTTTTACAGATGAATTGGCTTGCCCTTAACTAATAAGAAGACGTTGGATTTGAATTTACATTTGTCTGCCTCCAACTCTGCGTTCTATATTATATCCAGACCCTAACTCTAAAGCTGCCTACAAAGATGAGGCCTGTGATTTTTTCCACTGCTAACTGCATGATCTTCAGCATTCTTTCTTAGCATGTTTACCTATTTACCTGAAATAAATTTATTTTCTTTTATTCTAAGATCTGAGAAGTCTGTCCTAGCATCTTGCTTCTTTAAAAAAAAAAAATTGGGATCCCTGGGTGGCGCAGCGGTTTAGCGCCTGCCTTTGGCCCAGGGCGCGATCCTGGAGACCCGGGATCAAATCCCACGTCTGGCTCCTGGTGCATGGAGCCTGCTTTTCCCTCTGCCTGTGTCTCTGCCTCCCTCTCTCTCTCTCTCTGTGTGACTATCATAAATAAATAAAAATTTAAAAAAAATAAAAAAAATAAAAAAAAATTATTTTTTTCATAAGAAGCACAGAGAGAGGTAGAGACATAGAGGGAGATGCGGGACTCAATCCCAAGACCTCAGGATCATGCTCTGAGCCAAAGACAGATGCTCAACCACTGAGTCACCAGGCATCCCTCTTGCTTCTTTTTTTTATAGACACCATCTTTTTCTTTTCTTTCTATAAGGACCTCTATCTGAACACCCCTTTGAATCAGATATATTTACCTCGAGCTTAGCTTTATTCTAAGAAACCTTGGCTTGGAGTCAAGAGATCTATGTTTTAGTCCCAAACCTACAACTCACTGCCACTTGGACTTTGGCCCCATAATAGGATTTTACATGCTACTTTGCTCTATTTCTATAGGATATTTCTCTAGTCATATGTGTTCAAATTCGATTGTAATTTCCCAGAAGGATGAGTGGAGGATTCTGTCAGAACTCACAAGACACAGTCAAATTGCCTGGGAACAATATTTGCTAAGATCATTCTATTTATTGTTTTAAACTTAATTCTCATATGTATATGTCATCACCTCACAATAGCAGGACAAAGGGATCTTATTTTTTCTTCCAAATATGGATAAATTGGGAGCAAGAACTAATAAATTTCTTGTTGTGTTCCATTTTATAATGAGGAAGCTGTTTATCACCATAAGACGATATTCTCTGAGCTCTCTTTGAAAATAGACCATCAGATAAGTCTGATAATCCAAAAGGATAGAAGAGAAAAGAGATGGGAGGAAAATTAAATAAAGTAAAACTTACACATCAGAATTTTGTTTTGTTTTGTTTTGTTTTTAATTTAAGAACTGCCTGAAAGACTGTGCTCTATTGCTGAGTCACAAGATGTTAGTTGCTATTTTGAATTCACTCCATTATTTTGATGGAGGGTTTAGGACTTTTTAAAGTCTAATTTTCAATTCAGGAAGCTTTCAAGAATGCTGCCTAAATTCAAATTCAAATTGTGAGATAGAAAAAAAGGCATCAAAATAAGTAAGAGGAAATCCAAGGTAGCCATGCAAGATGTCATAATTGAATTTTAAAACTCTAAGGACCTTGGGCATTGCTTCTTTTTTCTTTCTTTTCTTTTTTTCATAAGAACTACTTGGTTTTACAGAGTAATTGTTTTGGGTAGAATAAAAACAAGTTTAGTTCAATTAGTGTTAGTATCTGCTTACAAAAAGAGAGTAGAAATATAGCTATTCTTTAAATGACCAATTTCCATGTGTCCTAATTAGCCACTTTTGCTGGAAGATAGATTCACATGATGTTGGAAGACTAATGTTCTACTTCTGACTCTTTGGCAAGCAAATACCTTTCTTTTCTGCCTGTGATTTTAACAATTTGGAGGGAAGAAATGACTTAAAAAGTATAAATGATATTTGTCTTAAGAATTACATAAAACAAAGAGGCAACTTCCATATTATTACCTTTGAGGCTGTGTAAATCCACTTGAAAGATCAACTTTCAATATTTATCCCAATGTTCAATAA